ACACACACACACACACACACACACACACACACACACACACACACACACACGTACATCAATTTCTTCTATTCCATCTCTTCTACTTTTTTTCTGTTTCACTTTCTACCTTCCTTCTTTCGCTTCTTCCGCTTTCCTCCTCCTCTTGTTTCCCTTCTTGCATTCTCCTTTAATTCTTCCTCCGCGAGAAGGGCTTCGTTCAGTCGTTGCTCCGTGGGCGAGTTGGAAAAAGGTCATTGGACCTATCTGTCTTGCTCTTTTGTCTTCCTTTTGTTTTCCGTGTTATTCCGTCGCTGCCTGTGTCGTTTTGTTTGTTTGTTTGAATCTGTTTCTCTCTCTATCTTTATATCTGTCCGTCTGTTTTGTTTGTCTATCTTGTCTATCTCTCTCTCTCTATTTACTTATTGTCTCTCTCTCTCTCTCTCTCTCTCTCTCTCTCTCTCTCTCTCTCTCTCTCTCTCTCTCTCTCTCTCTCTCTCTCTCTCTCTCTCTCTCTCTCTCTCTCTCTCTCTCTCTCTCTCCGACTCTCCAACGCAAATCAGTATGTAAGTTCATTTCATTTGATAAGATACTGAAATGTGTTCTGCATATAGATGCTAAGGATCTTATGAGCCCGAGTTGTGTGTGTTTGCTATAATTTCTGAGGGCACAACGGAGTAAATTGTTATTGGCTTAACACGCTCTTCTCTTTTTTTTCAATTCCATAACCCCACAACCCAATTCCCATAAAAAATATATATATATATTTCGTTTCCGTCGTAAAAATTCAAAACTTCTGTCAATGAAAATGCCAAAAGGCCCGCATTTCGCTATTCAGGTTATTCTGACCTGTTTATAATTATTATTGTTATTATTTAGATAATATACATGCCTCTTTATCGTTTATGGTGAAAGTCCTATGCAGTTCATCAAATACTGTCCCCGTTTTTAGTGCAGTTAAAAAATGTTGCCTTCATCTTGCAGGAAAGGAAATCGCAGCCAAGGTTGGTTGAAATATTTATAGACGACGAAGAAAAAGAACAACAAAAATGGGTCCAGCAGTGAATGCTGCCTTATAACCGCACAAAACCGGTTTCAAGTAACTCACGCTGGTAGAATATTGGGGTATTTCCCGCCGAGGAATATACCTAGAATACATTTCTTTTACAATTCAGCGATGGATATGTGTATATATTATTTTATTTTGTTTATCTTATCTTTATGTATTCCCTTTTTTGGAAGGAGCGATGGGGATTTTTAAAGTCAGATCGATCATTCCAAAAATCAAGAAGGGTAAACAATCTCTCTCTCTCTCTCTCTCTCTCTCTCTCTCTCTTCTCTCTCTCTCTCTCTCTCTCTCTCTCTCTCTCTCTCTCTCTCTCTCTCTCTCTCTCTCTCTCTCAACGAAAACTGTCCTACGCGTCGATAAATCCTTCATTCCCAAGGAAGGAAGAAGACCGCTTAAAAACCGCGGCGACAGCGCCCTCGCCGCCGCTGCTCGCTCTTGCCTCACTCACGGTGACTCGGCGGCACCAGGAGCTCGCCGGTAAGGAGGTTACGGCGGGAGGGAAGCCGGGAGGGAGCGGGTCGAAGATCTGAAGAAGAGAATGATGGTTTGCGAAGGTGGTGCTGTTGTTTGCTGCTGGTGTTGTTTGCTGCTGCTGTTGTTTGCTGGTGGTGTTGTTTGCTGGTGTTGTTGTTTGCTGGTGCTGTTGTTTGCTGGTGTTGCGCTGGCGAAAAATAGACCATTGTTGTTCTTCTCTAATCCGAAATATATCTTTATATTTACGATGGCTGGGTGTTGATGTAACAGGCCTGCACGTTGGCAAACATTTCCCGCATAAACTGTTTGAAATTTACTGAAATTTTCGCATTTAAGTTGGAGGTATAATCCAATTACGTCTATCAAAACGCAACAGCAATACCCGTACTTGGAGAAAAAGTAATGGTGTTTAGTAAGTACTCTTACATCTTGGACAGTTAATCACGACAATCCGAATTTTGTCTTTAATAACAATTGCAATTCTTAAGTATTAATTGGGTTTAAGTAATTTTTTGAATTGACTTTGCAGGTGTGTGACAAAGGCCATACTCTGACACAGTTCCATGTGCTTTGTGAAAATACAGGAAGAAGTGTTTCGTGGAGTAAGTAGATTGTGTAAATAGTCCGTGGAGTAAGAAGATGTAAGTAGTTCGTGAAGTAGGTGATGTAAGTAATGCGTGAAGTAGTTCGTTGAATAAGTGGATGGTGTAAGAAGTCCGTGAAGTAGTTCTTTGAGTAAGTAGATGTAAGTAGTTCGTTGAGTAGGTAGATGT